TAAATAGACGATTGACCTCTATCCTCCTGTTTGAGTTTTTTAACTGAATTACTTCTCGAGGCAGATTTGGTTAAAAGACAAAAAGTGGTCTGCCAGTCCCTGTTCACTACAGGCCTTTACTGAATTATTATGCACGTTTCGCTGAATGGAAGGTTTTCATCAAATGCACGCTACCTATGTTAGCCTACGGTTTTCAAAGTATGAGTATCAAGTAGTGACCGTTCACACAGTCTTATTGTCCACACAGACCGAATCAGGGAGGCGCATATTAACCTCTATCCGTTCCATTGCGTCAGCAAAAAAAATACAGTGCAGCTCTATGTGATGGCCTCAGATGATCGTACCACAGTCGTAAGGCTGACATTACTTTCATAAATACAGTTCGAATTGTTTGCAACGATCTCAAACGGCTCGCCAGAGCTCTTGCATCGATGAATAAGCATATCATCGATTGATACATATTCACATTTTCACTCATGCTGTCCCTGTTGACTGCGCCAGGCTCCTTATAACTGACTATCGCTTCATGCGGCCAGCCATAAATGCTGTCACGAAAATCGGCTGTGGAGATTCAAGATCTATCGCTGCTAGAATCTTAAATCAACTACTGACACAAGCAATCGGCTTTAGTCGACGATTCTGATTTGCGGTCGAAAGATGCGGTAAGGATGGATCGTGCGCTCAGCTGCGAGACGCTCAGCCACTGGTAATACGTTGTTTGTATCGTTGCAGGTGTTGAATTGCATAAGCAAGCGACGGTTCCGTTCTGCGTTGGTTCGTTGATCAGGCTGCTTACAGAACCGGCAACTTTTAGCTTTTGAACACTTTCAGGGTTTAAGGAAGAATTCTTGAATTTGGACGCATTCGCAACACATTTGATTTGATGTGTTGCGAATGCCTCCAGAAAGGAAGGCTATGCAGCTGGTTCCTTGCAAATCCGACCGGCAAAAGGCCATGTGGACGGCCAAGATTAACCTGGTGCAAATATATGGGAGGAGTCTGTTTTAGACTCCATTTGTCTTTTGCCGAAGCTCAGACTCTGGCACAGGATCAGGAACATTCTAAGCACTGTCTGACGGGTCTGCCTCCGCGACCCGAAAGGAGAAGCGGTGATGGACGATGAAGAAGATGAAGATCCTTGAACTTGTCTCATATGTTGTACACGATTCGATTTGGCCCCTGATACGTGCGCTGAGGTTATTTGCCGTATCACCAGTTAACCTGATTATAATTATAACCTGATTACGATTATTGTTAGGATGGAAGGTTTCGGCGAATGAGAACGCACAGCAACGAAATGCAACCTTTCCGTTTAACGCTTAAGCGATGCAGCCGGTTCCGGTGTCTTGCTTTGCCACTGTCCTTGACGCTAAGGCTGAGTTTGGTTCTGTGCGTCGTCCTACAGCGTAGAAATCTTTAAGTGCTGTGCAGTGTGTGAAAGATTTTCCGTTTTGAACCGCTAGAATTATACTAAGGGTTCCCCATTAGCGGTTCAGCTCGCCAGAAAAATATTCTTTCGCCCTTGATATTGAACATTGTTTTCGATTCTCTTGTCCAAAACAGAGACGAATGCTTCATCTTAAACCGAAACGCAGTTCAAGCTCTCTGGCTGGCTACTTTGTAACAGGCGGGCTCTTGCCTACAACACAGGCACGAATGCCAGTTGCTACCGTAGCGCAATGTAGTCCAAGGTTATGCGGAATCTATGCTACATAACTGACATTTTAGTAAAACAGGGACGCGAAAAGACAGTGGAAGTTGACCAATTTAATTACCACTGCTTTTCAATCAGAGATGAATAATCGGATCGTTCTCGCTGTCAATGACTTTTGTAACTTTTACGGTATATAGGCTGCGAAAAAAATAACTCTTCCGTAACAGCCCGTCTATACTTGGCCTTAACCAGGTTAGCTTAGTTGCTCGGCATGGAGACAGTTTTTCTAACGAGGGATGGAGAACTTCTGTTGAACCACGTGTAGCAGCGTGGCCTCGACGCGTAATGAAGATTTAATGGCTGGGCCACAGAAGGAATGACACTATTCTTTTTCGGGTGCTGGCGACTTCATTAGATCTGATCATTAAGCAAAGGAAGTTAGCCTTGTTGTGCTAGTTGATTGAACATGATTCGTTTACTGCAGCCCACAGGCTTTCAATCAAAGGCTAGCGTGCAACATGGATGAACTTTGTGGAAGCCGCTCTGCTTTCGGAGAGGAACGGTTGATTCTACAATGTCGTAGTCGGTGCCTTGTAGCAAAATTACTGTAAAGCTGCAAATGGAGCGGACGTCGTACGAAACCGTTCAAGGAACTTATCTCAACAGAACGCTTGTGTAACGTTTGCAAAAATGGACCAAAACATGAATGAGTGATTCGAGTGTGTAAGCGGGAATTTACACACTGCCTGATAAAACTGAGAAACTGAGGGTGGCAGAGGGTGAAAACCTCTTGGAGAGCAGGCAACAATGTCTTGATGCGAAGATTCTTTTGCCGTATGCTACGAGTATTCGAATCGTAGCAAAGTCCGGTCATCTAAATGTGCCAGCGCTGAAACAGTGAAATTTCTCAGATTAGAGTCCGGTCAGTTTGAAGCAATGTCATATTCATGTTAGGCACCGTTTGACGACGCAGTACGGTAAAAATTGCGCTCTGAGAGCGAGATCCCCTTGAGACAGAGGATAGGAGAGAAGCTTGATCCTATACCTTTTTGCGTAACCCGAATTGCCTCAGTGAGGTGAAAGAGTAATACCTGTTGTTGCATAAGGCTGAGCACTCAAGGACTTCAGCGCGTTCTGTCCAAGACCAGATCTGGCCTTCTGCAAGACTCTTGAAGGACATCTTTCCCCGCTGTGGCACACAGCGAGATGGAGGTTAATAAGAGTCTTTTAACGCCTGCTTCTGTGTCCATAGTTATTCAAAATGTAATATTTTCTTTTTCGAGTAGCTTTTACGCTGCCATGAAGATCATATTTCTCATGGCAATACGGCTGCATCAGCGACATTGGCAGATTTGCGGTAAATGAATGGTTGCTCTAAGAAACAATTTGTTTCGCTACATGTCAGATATCTTGAGCATTAAGTCCGCATAATAATTTTAATTAAATGGCCTAGAAAAGAGTAACAGGCCATTACCTGTGAACAGGTCAATCAAAATAGCGTCTTGGTTCGGTCATGCAAGATTTTATTGAACTTCATGGTCACTGTCTGATAGCCGCAGTGAACCTCTAGCGGAAAATAGCCAACGGTCACGGGAAGGTGTAAATTTGTCTGGATAGCGCAATACATGTTCAGCGACAGACATGAGCCCAAGTGCGTTTTCTATCAGGTTTTTACACAGGAACGTTAGTTTCTGGTTAAAATTCAGAACGAGAATCTCATGACGACACGAAAGGCCGGAGATGGTTGATGACTTGCCCCCGTCTATCAACTGTGGCACCACCGGCTTCGTTCTGCTTTTGAAGGACAGCAGCTATGACCATCTTCTGATCGCTTAAACGAACAGCTTGAGATGGAGTCTCGTAAAGTAGATCCTCCCCGCCGATATCGCCTAACCGAGGAGTGAATAGTTTGAGTGCTTCGATATGAATCGACAGTCAGTCGGTACGGATTTACGTTTGGGACAGTTTCTTTGTAGACAGGTCTGCTTCAAGAGCATGAGAATATTATTCCGGCCGGCTTCGGCCATTATCCCTCATTGTATGAAAAACAGGCGGGCTAACGGCTTTCATCGAGAATGAAAAAATTGAACTTCACTTTGTGGCAAAGTGCAAATGCCCTTTCGTTTGCTGCGTTTAACTCGTTCAACTTGGCTATAAGCTTCGCACTTGTCGACGTGATCGACCTGTCGAAACCTCGCCGCATTTCACGGTTATTGATTTCTGCACTATGACAAGCCGCCGTCCTCTGTTTCTCTTTCTCTTTCTGTTCGATGCTGGACAGAATGAAGACGAACATATAAAGGCATTCAGCAAATGAGGTTCGGCGAACTCGTCGTCTTGTTCCGTGTGCTGCAGGCGACCGTTCAACCTTCTCGAATTTAATGATTAATTTAACGATTTAGTTTTATTGATTGATTTAGTTCGACGTGTGTAGCTGATTGATTAACGACCGAATGTTCTTTGCTCCTTTCCTAAGTTTGTAAGCGTCGCGGTGAGTGAAATTTTTTCGTTTTTCTGCAGGCATTTTTCTGTGGTCAAAAGGATTAGTCTCACAATTTCGACTTCACAGAGGATCGGCAACCGATGCTTTGGTCTAAGCGCTACATTACATATACTTCATAACGAAAACCTCGTTTACTGCTTGCCTGCTTGCTTGCTATGGTGCGTTCAAGCGAGGAGAATGATGATGCCAAACGACGCATTCACATTCCGGAAATGACAGATATGCCTCTAGCATTACGATTTAGGAGACGAGGTGTTGGAATGGAATGGCCAGAGCTTCCAGAACGCGTCGTTTGACGAGGTCTACAGTGCGATCAATGCATCGAAACATGATCCTCGGATCGACCTGGTGATTGCGAGGTAAGGTTGCCAAAGGAGACAGAAATGCTCTTGCTGACTGAGACGGATTTCAGAGATCTCGATCAGGTGGTGGCCCCACCACCTTCCGTCAACGAGCAGCTGGTGCAGGCGGACAACGTCGTTCTCGAGCAGCGCTCTCTTCCGGTGTCGCCGATTTCGCTGTGCACCGCCGTGCCGAGCTTGTCCGGTCGAGCCCCGGTGACCACCGTTCTGCAAGGTCAGACGCCGGTCGTCATGATCACCACACCGCTCACTGACGTCATCCAGCTGAACCGAAAGCTGTTCGGTGTCGAAGGCCAGATATTCGGTCAGATCCAGGTGAGCAACGGTGGCATGGCGCCAATCCGCAGTCGTTGACGTATTTTCTGTGACACAGATCGGCCTTCTGTACTCTCATCCGGAACAACAGCTGGTCGTGCACGTTTACCAGGCGATCGATCTGCCGCCGAGAGCCGACGGAATATCTAGAAATCCGTATGTGAAGATGTTCCTTCTTCCGGACAGAAGGTAAACAGCAGTCGAGATGCATTTTCGATTCAAATGCGCATCATCTAGTGAGAGAAGCCGTCGCCAGAGCAAGGTGCTGGCTAACACTTGCAGTCCGTCGTGGAATCAAAGCCTGGTGTACAAAAACGTGACCACGGGGCAGCTGAGCGAAAAGATTTTGGAAATAACAGTTTGGGATTACGAGAAATACGGCTCAAACGAATTTCTTGGTGAGGTATAGCAGATTTCAACTTTGGTAACTGGTGAATTAGACGACGAAAAACGTTACTTGTGAGCGATTGCATATCTGCTTTTTCAACCTACTCCTGTATTAGGGCCTGTGCAAGAATCCCTGCAAAATGTTTCTTCAGTTCATTCTGCCATACTTCTGTAGGTCTCATCAGAGACTGGCAGTTTGCAGACTGCGAAATTAATCTAACCGTATCTTTCTGGTCAAGCAATGTTATTCTTGAAACGTGCCCTGCCCATTATAACGTCAACGCAAACTCCTGTTTAGGCTGGTAGCTATTAGTTTTTCTGCAGTTTGGTCACCCACGTGTTTGGGCTGGAAGCGCACACTGATCGAAAACGTTTCAACTGGTCGCTGTATCGCGACATGAATCTCTTGACGGCTCATTTTTAATCCTGATTTGATGCAGAGGTCGTCCAGTGCTTGAATTCTTCTTAGAAGATATCGTGGTGACCTGTGAGATTCAGAATATCGCCCTCGCAAGTTACAGTGTTCGTTTTTCTTCAACCCCTGAATTTCCTTAAGGAGTGCTTCGAAGACCTCTTGTATGGCTGCAGTGCACAACTTCAATGATATTGTATCAATATGGTGAATTCACTTTTCCAGTTTGATGTAGCTTATGCTTTCATGAAACGTGACACCAGCAGTTGCATCGTTGTACGCATAGACATGAGATCTCTGTTTTTCGATTCCCCGTCTCCTCAAAGACCTCGAAATTGATCGTACTGAGCAATCAGGCGGCGGCATTGTTAGTAGTGCTTTAGCCTATAACCGTATGTTTGATTAGCCAATTTTTCCCCTTGTGGACAACGCTAACTCTTTTCTGAGGGTCAGCTTAGTTTCTTATGGGATGCTGCTTCCTTGTGCCTATAATCATCACACGGAAACCGTTCGGAGACTGCTCAGAGACTCTTTAAAAGTTGTATTCAATGCAAAGTTGCCTGTACATAAAGTGTTACTGCTATGTCTCACTGTTTTTGTCGCAACTCGTGTAGTCCGTGACAGTCAGACTGCAGCATATACATAACAAATCG